CCTGGCGCCCCCCCCCCCAGCAGCCCAGGGACACGGGGAGCAAAGCCGCAGCAGCGGGGTGCCTCGCCTCTGAGGCTTTGCTCTGGCGCGGGACCCGCCGCCGCTGCGGCTTTGCTCCCGATGCCCCTGGTCTGCTGGAGACGGTCCCCAGCAGACCAGGGGCACCGGGGCACCGGGAGCAGCTGCCTGCGAGCTCCGGGGCGAGAAAGCCCCGTTCGTAAGTGCGGATCCGACATAAGTCGGATCCGCGTAAGTCGGGGACTGCCTGTAAACCGAATGAAATTCAATACAGACAAATGCAAGTACACCACTTCAGAAGGAACAATCAGTTTCACACATACTAAATAAGAAATGACAACCTAGGAAGGAATACTGCGGAAAAGGATCTAGTAGTCATACTGGACCATAAGTTAAATATGAGTCAACTAGGGATGCAAAAGTGCAATAGTTTAAATGGTTGATAAGCATTAGCGTATCAGTTTCCATTCTGGTTATACACCTGTTCCCCATGCTAAGGGCTCTGCAGTATAAAAGTTATATCGCACAGCCCGCAGCACATATAACTGTTATGCTTTTACATCTCTCAAGTCAGTGTAAGACTTGAAAAAACAAAAGACCACACCATTCTGGGATGTATTAGTTGATCATCATGTGATCCATAAGAATGGCCATCCTGGGTCAGACTGAAGGTCCATGTAGCCCAGTGGCCAATGCCAAATGCCCCAGAATAAGTGAACACAGGTAATCACATGATCCCTCTCCCATCATCCATTTCCAGACAGAGGCCAAGGACACTATTCTTACCCTTCCTGGCTAATAGCCATTGAAGGACTTAACATCCATGTATTTATCTAGCTCTTTTATGAACCCTGTTAAAGTAATTCTTCCGCTCTGTGCTAATAAGGCTTCAACTGAAGAATCATGTCCAGTTCTGGGCAACACATTTCAGGAAAGATGTAGACAAATTGAAGGCCCAGGAATGATAAGCTATGAGGGAAGATTCAAAGAATTGGGATTTGCTTAGTATGGAAAAGAGAAGACTGAGAGGGGACATAACAGCTTTCAAATATCTAAAAGGTTGTTGCAACGAGGAGGGAGAAAATACTTCTCCTTAACCTGTGATCAGGACAAGAAGCAATGGGCTTCTTAACTGTCAGGATGGTTAAACACTGGAATAAGTTGCCTAAGGAGGTTTGGGACTCTCCATCATTGGAGATTTAAGAGCAGATTAAACAAATACCTGTCAGGGATGGTCTAGATCCATGGTCACCATCTGGCCGCAGCATCATAACACTCCTGCCCCCCCCCCAGACCCTAGATCTGAGCCTATCATACACTGGAACCCCCTGCCCTGAGCCCCTCACATCCCCCACCCCAAAGCCCTGAACCCCCCCATCCACAAGCCTGTGGCTTGCTTAGTACCCCAACCCTCCATCTGACCCCAACACTCCCCAGCCGGGAGCCCCCTCCCCGAGCCAGCATCCCCTTCTTCACCTCCTCCTGCATCCAAATTTCCTCCCAGAGCTTGCACCTCTCACCCCTTCCCACACCCAAATCCCTTATTCCCTCCCCAGAGCCCACACATCCTGTCTCAACCCAGTGAGGGTACAGCTAGACTGCAGGAGATTTTCCAGGATTTCAGAGATATCCTGGAAAAACTCTTCTGCATCCAGGGATGCATTTGTTCTGCTTTTTTTAGTGGAAGAGAAAACATGCTCTTTCGGTAACCTCTATATTCCTCGTTCCACAGGGAATAAAGGGGATTCCAAAAGAAAGGGGTTTTCTAACATAAACCAGTCTAGACAGGCCAAATGTTGGGAAAACCTCTTCCTACATAAGAATTGGGGAAAACAAGTGGCAGTATAGTGTATAAGGGCTAGGGATAGCAAGTGATGGAGAGAAGTAGAATAGAGAGGGCGGGGCTTCAAGGAAGGGGTGGGGTCTTGGGGGAAGGATGGGGCGGTAGATCTTTGCTTGTTCTGAGATTTAAAAAGTGATCTTGGGTGCAAAAAGGTTGGAGACCACTGGTCTAGATGGTGCTTAGTACTGTCATGAGTGCAGGGGATTGGAGTTAATGACCTCTCAAAGGCCCTTCCAGTCTTACGATTCTAGGAAATTCTAATCTTCATAAGAACGATCAAGTTAAAATTTGTCAAAAATACTCCTCCAGCAACCTAAAAAGAACCCCCCACAGCGGTTGACTCTGTGCAGTCCGATGCCACAAAAACAAACAAAAACCCACACAAACCACACCTCCACCCCCCATAGGAATACACAAAGAAAGGGTACACTCCTATATTATAGTCCTTTCAATTTGTCTTGAAATGAAAAGGGTATTGTCATGTTCCAAGATCTACAATTAAAATATTTTCACTTGCTGGACCCACAGGAGACCACAAAGCTCCATCTGCAACAGACTGGATTTTTAGGGTAATGCAGCTTTGATAGTCAGAGATACACCATTTAAAAACATTAGTCAGAGAGAAATAATATCATAATTTAAAACTAAAAAAAACCACATTGGGAGAACAGAATGTAGTGCAGGATACAGAGAATACATTAATGAAGATGGAATGTTCATGCTATGCTATGGAATATTATTTGTACCACTTAATTATACACACAAACATTTGAAGAGTTTTTAAGGATGATAGTGGAATGACAGCATTGCTATTGTTGAAGTAAAGAACTGCTTCTTTTGTAAATAATGAACATAGCAGCCTAATGTTTTTAAGTCAGGAAAAGACAGTCTCATCTGCAGAGAGAAACTGACTGGAACAGTATGACTCTGTTACAAGTACTGATTTCTTTTCCCTTGGCCCTACCTTCCCATCCCTAGATAAACAAGATGAAGGTCAGCTGCAGGCATATTAATGAAAAAGTTCATTTAAGATGCTAATTCTTCCAAAATCACTTTCTAGTTTCATTTAATCTTTTTATAAGTTTCAATGAAAGTCAGCAACCATTTTCAACAGGGCTAGGTGTTGGAACATCTAAAGTCTAAGTACCTTTTTTCTATCTTAAAACCAGAAAGTGTCCAATGACTAAGAACATTTTCAGCTTTTGGTTATCAGATTGCAAACTCAATATGCCACTAGACCAAGCTGTAAAGAGTCCATCTGTGACAGTTTTCCCATTTTCTAAAATTCCTTTCTGAGGCAGTTACTTAAAAATCTAACATTTTTGCTTCCCGTTTTTTCTACTCCTCCCAAAACAAGACTGTTTTATTTGCCTATAACTTTTTTTCTAAAACAAAGAACAGATGGAGAAAAAGAAATGTCAAAGATGTTCTGACATTTCATTCTGCAAGAGCTTTTGCGGTCATGTCTAAAATCAAAGTTGTCCAAGATTAAAATATGCCACTGGAAAGTATCAGTGATAATCAAGTGGAAAGGTAGGGTCCCAAGCCATATATCAGTGTCCCTGCTCCTCTTCCATACTACGTGTGATCATGGGAAAAAGTGTAAGAGCATCTAGGGTTAAATTCATACCAGTTCAGAATGTGTAAACCAGCATATGCATCATTAAACAAAAAATTATTATTGCTTAAATAGTGCTTAGAGCATGGGTTCCTAAACTGGGGGGAGTGCCCCCTGGGGGCTGTGAAGAAATTCCGGGGGGGGGGGGCGGCGAGG